ATTAAAAATATTAATAAAAAGATTAAAAATAATGATCTAATATTGACAAAAGCAGATAAAGGCAATTGTCTATTAATTCTGAACAAATTTGATTACTTGTCTAAAGTTTACAACTTTTTGAACACCAATAGTTTCGTTATAATCACTAACCCCTTAAATAAGTATAATACCAAATTTAAAACTACCCTTAAAAATTGTACACATTTGATTAATGATTCCTTGTTTAATAAATTCAAACCAGATCACAAATTAATACCTAGGCTATATGGCCTTCTCAAAATACACAAATCTGACAATTTTGATGACATACCAATCCGCCCTGTCGTGTCATATATAAATTCACCAACATATTATACATCAAAGTGGTTGAATGACATACTCAAAATCCATTATAAAGATCACTTTACACATACAGTCAAAAATAGTGTACAACTTGTAAACAACATCAAAAATGTTCACATTAATGATACAGATTCTTTGATCTCTTTAGATGTATCAAACTTATTCACAAATATTCCTATACCAGAAGTTCTAGGTTTTGTTGAATCACATTTGTCAAGTTCGAATATGTCTGATATTGAACTAGTAGAATTTTTGAACCTTCTCAAGGTTTGTTTAGAACAAAACTTTTTTCATTCAACAATGAAATTTTTTCACAAACAAATGGACTTTCTATGGGATCTCCACTTAGCCCAATTTTAGCAGACATATTTATGCACAATTTTGAAAAAGAGAAAATCCTTAAAAATAACCTTTTCCACTCAAATGTGAAATTCTATTATAGATATGTTGATGATATTTTGATTTTGTGGTCAGGTAACTTAGACTCATTAAATGACTTCTTGACTTATATTAATGACTTACATTCTAATATTAAATTCACATTAGAAATTGAAATAAACAAATCTATTAACTTCTTAGATCTTAAAATCTCACACAATAATAACAAGTTCAACTTTGACATCTATAGAAAGCCAACACATACAGGCACAGTTATAGACAATACCTCTAACCATCCAGCAACACATAAATTGGCTGCCTTTAATTGCTACTTAGAGAGGCTATTAAACATCCCTCTGTCTACGGAAAACTTTAATAAGGAACTAAATATAATTAAAACTATTGCTATAGATCACAACTTTGAACTGGATATTATTGATAAAATGCTAACACATAAACAAAATAAAATTCAACAAAACTTGGTTTATATTAATAATCCTAATTTGGTACATGAACTAACCACCAGTAAGAAATACATTTCTCTTACCTTTATTGGAAAAGCATCCTATAAAGTGGCAAGCTTACTTAAAGACCACTTTAAAGTATCTTTCAAAACCCCCTCCTCATTACATAAGTTATTTGTTCATAATAAAGATAAATTAGATCCCTTTGACTTGTCTGGAATTTATAAATTGACTTGTAAATCTTGCCATTCTTTCTATGTGGGACGCACATTTCGAAATTTCAAGATCCGTTTAAAAGAACATTTGCGTTGTCTTAACCAAAATACAACAGGATTTTCACATTTTGCCAACCACCTACTGGACTCAAATCACGACTTCGATTCAACTGAAGGTTTCGAAATCCTACATAGTTCCTACCATAGATTTACTCTTAATAGCTTCGAAAGCCTCGAGATATTGAGAAATTTAAAATTAAATCCTGTTGGTTGCTTAAATGCCCAGATAATGTCAGAAACTCCTCCAGTTTTCTCAACACTAATCTAAATTTATCGTTCTAACTTCCTTTTTAACCTCCCCCTTTATTTCTATTCACATATTTCCTTGCAAGGGGTACATTTCAGTAAGTAATTTTTTTCCCACAAAAAACCAACGTGCATGTTTAAGGACTAGGTTAAGTTGTGCGTTTTCACATCTGTCATTTTCTTCTTCTTTTATTTTTCAGTTGCTTCACAACAGTTAACCCAGTCATCTCTTCTTCTTTCTTATTTTATCCTACAACATCACATACACTTGGTGATTGGTTCATGGCCCAAATCTTATATAATAAATAATAAATATTTCTTCACTCATAGTTTACATCTTATTACCTATACCCTGTCATAAGTTTATCCAAGAATTTTTCTTTAGTACTTACCACCACCTGTAGAGGCCTTAACTTGACAGGTCTCCTTTCAAAAATGTTAGATTTTTATAAAAAACAGCAATGTTTGCTTAAAACAGGCCTTATCTTTTAATCTGTTTAATGTATGTAATTTGTTTTTGTATCGTCTTGAATATTTTTAAAATTTTTAACTGTTTTATCGACTAATATTTGTTTTTCAAATATTTTTAACTTTATAACTTGTAACATTGTTTTGTTTTACAATTTATTTCATCCCCCACGTTTTGATGAAACTGGTTTGTAGTATTCCCTAGTGGATGGAGAGTATGGTGAGTTTTTTCTATTTTTTACTATTTTATATATTGTGGGCTCAAAGTCAACACACCTTACACCACATATTCTCCTTTCCACTAGGCGAGCCTGAAGATGAAGTGATGTTACTTCGAAACCGGTCGCACTCAATGTTTTGTTGAATAATTAAACATTGGACTTTCCTTGTGAGATATAAAGGACTTTTTCTCCCCCCTTCACCTTAAAATTACTTCAACTCACACATGGCTACCCCCCTTGTCAATACTAAAAAATGACTTTTAATTTAAACTATAAAGATTATGTCCTGAAGCTGCTACAGGGAATCTCCTACAAGGGGGATCTCCTATAGGGAGGATCCGTTCCCTGTGGAAAAAGCCTCGTGCATCCCCTTGACATTACCTTTATCACTTTCTCATAGTTTATTGTTATTAAAACTAATGTTTAATAATTATTAAATAACCAACCTTGCACATTATTGCTATTTAAAACAAATTGTTGACATAATTAAACAAAGTTTTATGTACAGGATGTTATTTAAATAATTAATTAAAATTAGGAAAAATAGGAATTTATACGAATCGTGACAATATGAAGTATTTTACGATTGTTTTTAATAATACTATTAATATATGGATACAAAAATTTTCATTCTTTTGTTTTAATCTTGTTTTAAACTTAAAACATTTGGTGTTTTTTGTTTTTTTGTTGGTTTTTTTATTATTTTTTCTGTTTTTTTGTTTTATCTTGTTTTTTTGTGTTTGAATTCTGGTTTTTTGTTTTTTTATTGTGTTTTTTATTTTTATTAGGAAATAACTTAGGACACCTCACGCTTAGGGGCCAATTAAAGCGATTTAAGATAAACAAAGGAGAACCTCGGATAGGAGGAACACAAATGGGAAAAACAGAGATTTTGTTCTATAATTTTAAATTAGTATTAGATATGTGACGAAAAAGTAATTCATATACTCCTAATTTAAGATGTAGATAACGCTGTTAAAATATGATCGTCTAATTTCCGGACACCCTGTATATTTAATTCTTGTAATTGTAATAATTCTTTTAAATTAAATGGTCTTGTTATCCTTACTTTTTTACAATCGATATAATTATTTATTTGTTAAAAAAAAACATATTCGTACTGTAGAAAATTGGGTTTTTACTTAAAGAAAAGGGAGATATTTTTTTCAAATAAATGTATAAACTTTCATTTGAAATATTAGATTATGACTAAAATTAATATTTTTCTAATAGTAGAAGTCCTTATTTATCTAATAGTGAACTTTTAACTATACCTTACCGTGCAAATTTTTGAGAATTTTTTTTTTAAATGTTTGTGTTTGTACAGTGTCTTACGAGAAAGTAAGACTTCAACAACAATTTTCGAATTATAATTAATTTTACTATTATTTATTGATTAGATGGAGTAGAAAAAAACTAAAAATAAGGTTTTTGAAATATTTAGGTTTTGTTGTTTACAATAAAATATATAGGTTACCGTGGAATTTATTGAGAAATTAATATTAAAAAATTACAAAAAATTTTCAACTAGGTTACTTCAATTTTTTTTTTTAATATTAATTTCTCCATAAATTCCAAGGTAACCTATATGTTTTATTGTAAAAAACAAAACCTAAATATTTCAAAAGCCCTATTTTTAGTTTTTTTCTACTCCATTTAATCAATAAATAATAATATAATTCGAAAATTGTTGTTGAGGTCTTATTTTCTAGTAAGACACTGTACAAATACTCACATTTTAAAAAAAAATTCTCAAAAATTTGCACGGTAAGGTATAGTTAAAAGTTCAACATTAGATAAATAAGGATTTCAAATATTAGAAAAAAAAAATTTTAGTCATAATCTAATATTTTTTATTTAACATTGGTAGCGAAAGGGGTGGCGAAAGGACCTCCTTAATCGGTTAATTTTTTTTTTATCAAAATAATGTTCTACATCTTAATGTCTAAAAATGAGAAAATTATGTATTTGAGTTGACTCACCCTGTAACGATTTATTTCGAATTTGAAAAAGTATTGCAACGGTATAAAAAGTTGACTAACATCGAAAAACTTTTATCACAAAAAAAATTGATTTTCAATTGTTTGTTTTGCAGTATACAGGTCAATGAAATCACTACGATTTTCTTTTGAAGCTGGCAATTGCCTGTGAAATACCCTGTATAACCTCATAATATTTGGTGTTGTTATAATAGGAAAAGCGAGGTCTATTCAAATATAAACTAAAATATAAAACTCAATTTTGATATGTGTCCATTTCAGAAGAACCCTGTATAATTGAAATTATTTTTAAATTGTTGTCTTTTGTGATATACATCATGCTATGAAAAGATTAAAAAAAAATAAAATAATTTTATCTCTACAGACCGAGGCATTACCGATGGTCTACCCTGTATATTATGGTACTGGCTTAATTTGTTTTAAACGAATTATGTCTTAAAACAATTTTGAATTGGGTACCAACCAACAGTTTCTTGTCTTGTTAAAAAATAAATTAATAGGTACAAAATAATTTAAAAATTTTTATTTTCCTACAAAATTTCGCATACAATTTCTCAGAAATAAGCGTACGATTTTACAAAATAAAATTTAGTAAATTTAAAATTACTAATCTCTACTGGATGCAGGACTCTGTCTTTTGGAAGATCCAATGTCATTTTCATTGATTTTATAGTCGACGAGGTAACCGTCCATTAAAGTCTGTACGCTGGCGTCACCAGTACGTTGGGTCATATGAGTTGGAAGAACTTCTCGCCTGAAAACAACAAGACACCGCATTTTAAAACGATTAAAAAAGATAATTTTGGTTTAATAATTTTCAAAAACAATTCTCAAACACTTCCCCTTTGTTATAAAAAAAATAAATAAGTGCAGCTCTTACTTGGTAACTACGAAACCATTTTTATCCGCTTTGTAATATACAGTCGTCCAGAAGAAGCCATCATCATATGAGTATTTACCATACAAAACACCACCTTGTCTAGTTTCAGCCTTCTGTTGGTAGTTTCCATTGATATGGTCATCGACTTGGGTAGCGAATTGGAAATGGGCGTTCTTAGCTTGTTGCTGAAATTCAGCGCTGTTTTCAAAATTGTTGGACGAATGGACTTCCGACCAGTCTTCGGAGTGACTGCTGCTAGTAGTTGGTACCTTGTGGACGATAACAGTTGGATTGGCTCCAGATTCGTGACTTCCAACTGTATGGGATACAGATTCATAGGAGTGTTCATTTTTGAGCTTGTTCAACAATTCTTCGCTGCTAGATACAACGTTGTTTCTGTCGTTACCTAGATGGGTAATGGTTACGTGTGAGTTGTCGGAAAGGGTTTCTGTTGGTTTCTCAACTGTTGTGATTGTGGTCTTCTTTATGACGGTATCTTTTTTCTATATAAAAAATTAAATATTGTTATAATTTGTGTCTGTCACATTTGTTTTAACTACAAAAAGTTTTGTGCGAATCAGTGGCGGCTTGTGACCTAAAAATTGGGAGTTCACAATGACAGAATATAAATCTCAATACAGATTTAGGTAAAAAATTTGCAGTTTTTATAATACACCTTTTCAAAACACTTAGAGCTTTTTACCTAAATCTGTACTGAGACCAATATGCTCTCATTGTGAACCCCCAATTTTTTAGCCACGAGCCGCCACTGGTGCGAATATAGTCTAATTTCGGTAATAACTACATTGAAAAAGTGATAAAAAAGGTTTACTTTTTATAGAAACATAAATTATTAGAAGTAATCAGTTTGTTTTCAGAACTCAGAAGACGCCATTGTGAATATTACAATAATAATATTTACAATGCTCTACTATATTGATATCTTATGAGGCCTGATCAAGGCATTCGATACGGTAAACAATTGGGATTTATCAGATATTTTTAAAGATATGGGAATAAGGATCATAGTTCTGTAGTTATTTAAATCTTATTTATACGAACGAAAACCTTTTGTCTAATTTATTAACAAAGTATGTAGAAATAGAAGTTCCTCAAGGTACAGTACTTGGGCCGCTTATGTTTCTATTCTATATAAATGGGTCCTTATGCAAAATTTATGTATTTAAATAAACTTTCCCTTAAAGTAAATTTCTTATTTTAACCTACCCTGATACCAGTGGCGGTTTGTGGGGTGGTTCTCAGTGACAGAATATAGGTATCAGTACAGATGTATCAGTGTTTTAGAAAGTTTATAATATACCTTTCTAAAACACTGACAGTTTTTTACCTATATCTACACCGGGATCTATATTCTGCTACTGTGAACCCCTAAAATTTTGGTCCCGAGCCGCCCCTGCCTGATACTATTGTATTTCAATCTCGAGAAATTTGAATTTATTTAATAGGAACCACGTATACTTTTGTGAATATTTCCTGTAGATTTGGGGTAAAATACTTTAAAAAAATATACTTATTTAAAAAGTTTCTCGTAAAGAGTAATATTACGACCTTTAGTTTCGCAGATGATTTTAACTGCTCTTGGATGGACCATCTATAAATATTCTGGAAGTTTAAACCAGAGCTTAAAGTGTTGTGGGTTCTCAGCTTCCTCATTGTGTATGATTACCCTTTGAATATATTATATTTAATATTTTTTGTTTTATTATGTAGTAGTAACAAAATAAGTTTTTATCACTAGTAATGAACAATAAGAAATTTAAAAGTGACATTTTATAAGTAAAAATAAAAAAAAAAGATACTTACGGTTGGTGCGTGGCCTCGTTCCAATTCTTCAATCAACCTCTGCACATCTCCTTGGCCTTGGGATCCCTTGACCGCCGTGGTGGTGCGATCTTCTGTTGCTGGAGCAGCCAAAGTAAAGGCCAGGCAGGCTAAAAACACGGCTACTGCTTTGTTCAACATCTTGGATGGATGGTCAATGACTGAAGTGAAGACCATTGGGTACTACGTCTTTTTATATTTTGAATGATTAATGACGATGTACGACTTTTCGAAAGTTGATTGCTAAATTTTAAAAATCGTTAAGAGATTGGAATGTCATTATTATCATTAAAGGTGATTATTGTGCAGGTTATCAGATTTTTTGATACCATTTTAATTGCTGTTTAAATGTTTCTTTAAAATTTTAAACAATATACAAACTAATTTTTAAAATTCTTTGTTCATACTATTTCTGTTTACAAGGCCAGTCTTCTTCATACATATCTTTTTCTTTTAAGAAAAAAAGTTTATAAATGGTTTTAAATGTTTTTGGGGTGATACTTCACGTTTAAAGGTAAAAATTAGATCCAAGGAAAACATCGTATCATACTTAATCAGCTATAGAACGTTTGCATAAACAGGAACAAAAATAGACGAACCAAAAAGAAGGAAAATTAATAAAGGAAAAGAGAAACATTTATTTAAAAACATAAAGGTATAAATTCTAAGCAATTACTTAGACTTATAGGAAAAACTGTAAAAGAGTAACAGAAAGAATCAAAATATAAACTAAAAAAAATAAAAATAAATATAAGTACAAAACGTTCCTAAGACGAGTCATTACCGATGTCATAAAAATAATAATTGAAAAAGAATGATGGAAACAGTCAGAGAGAGAAATTTATCTAATGTAATCAAGAATGCGTATTTTAAATTCAGCACGACTCTAATTCTTAATTAAAGTAAACATATTCTTTATTTGAATCAAGGCATTCTTAAATTAACATTGTCATGTTCAATTTTTGAATTAAAAGCTATAAATACGCACGAACGTTGTTAATTTCAAAATTAATAATCCTAACATGTTAAATTAAGTATGGTATCTTTAAAGTTTAAGTGTACATCCAATAGTTAAGCTTGAAGCGTTCTTAAATTTATAAATAATGTAAATAAACTGAGAATAGAACTTTTTGTTTCATACTTCTTTTGTTTAGAATGTTTTAAAGAATTGCCATACTTAAATTAAGCAAGAGATTTTCTTCGATTAAGAAGCAACGAGATTAAAATTAGAAAGAAACTTCTTGTTATAAATATGGATAACCGTCTTTCGCTTAAGAATTTTTCAAGAATTCCCATACTCATAATAAGTATGCGGGTTTCCTATATTAAAATTCTGATGTGTCCAACACATGACTTTCCTATCTAGTTATTATAAGCTTTTTCCGGTTATTTTGTACAACCTATTGCGGCACATCTATAATTGTTTAGAGGATAAACTAAATATATACATTTTCCACTTACATCTACCTCGAAACATTTTTCTATAGATATTCATTGAAAACGCAAATACTGAAAAATTTAAATTTAGCACTTTTCCTTCAATTTTTCTATTACGGTCCATTTTAGAAAAATCATGTATAAACAAAAATTATACAGATCGATATCGCAAACAACTTTAAGTTTAACAATTTTCTTAATAATCAGAATTTTGCACATTTTGTCAAATTTCTCGAATACCATTTCAGGAAAGTTTGACATCAAACAAAAATTATAGATAATAATATTAGAAGTAACTTTTTATTTGAACAATTTTTTTCTCCTAACATAAATAACAGATATATTCCATAAAATATAAAAACGGCCTCCCATAAAGTACCCCCCCAGATGTTCCGACTTTGTCCAAAATCTAATCATTTCACGTCAGGCCGAAATAAAACGTAACTTTAAAATTTAATGTTTTTTTAATCCGTTTTTGAGTAGAAATTTCAAAATTTACAATTTTCTCAAATTTCTCGAATACGGTCTATTTTAGAGAAATTATGTATAAAATAAAAATTATAGAGAATTATATAAATTTTCTTCCCCAAACGTAAATAACAGATATATTCCATTAAATATAAAAATGACCACTCATAAAGTACCCTCCCGGATGTTACGACTCTGCTCAAAATCTAACCAGTTCATTGGACGCTGGAACAAAGCTTAAGTTTAAAATTTGGTGTTTTTTTGTGTATGGGTTCATGAGTTATGCGACACACACACACATACACACACACAGACACACACAAATACACACAGACACACACAGACACACACAGACACACACAGACACACACAGACACACACAGACACACACAGACACACACAGACACACACAGACACACACACACTGACACACACAGACACACACAGACACACACAAATACACACAGACACACACAGACACACACAGACACACACAGACACACACTGACACACACTGACACACACAGACACACACAGGCACACACACAGACACATACATACACACACAGACACACACAGACACACACAGACACACACAGACACACACAGACACACACACAGACACATACAGACACACACACACACAGACACACATACAGACACACACACAGACACACACACACAGACACACACACACACACACACAGACACACACACAGACACACACACACACACACACACAGACATACACACACACAGACATACACACACACAGACATACACACACACACAGACATACACACACACACAGACATACACACACAGACATACACACACACACAGACATACACACACACACAGACATACACACACACACACAGACATACACACACACACAGACATACACACACACACACACACACACACACACACACACACACACACACACAGACATACACACACACACACACAGACATACACACACACACACACAGACATACACACACACACAGACATACACACACACACAGACATACACACACACAGACATACACACACACACACACACACACACACACACGCACGCACGCACGCACGCACGCACGCACGCACGCACGCACGCACGCACGCACGCACACACACACACACACACACACACACACGCACGCACGCACGCACACACACACACACACACGCGATATTGGCGTTCCACAGTTCACTGTATTTTCCTCACATATCTAGTATAAATTATTTGACATAACGAAACTAACAATACTTATAATTAATGTAGAGTAATAAGTGATTCGTGAATTCTAAATAAAACAATTATTATATAAAAGTGTAAAAGGAAATGTAATTTATTTCCCTATTTTCTTCTGTAATATCTTGAATTATTATGTTTAATTTCTATAAATAAACCAACTGGTTAGGTGAAATATTGTGATATAAGATTTTATTTATGTGTCCTATGCGTACACCTGGAACATTCTTTAAATAATTGTGGTCGTAGAAATAATTGTGTACATAACTCGTTTGAAAGTGTATTTTATGCACTTGCCAAATATATTATCCATACAGATTAATCAGACTATTTTTTTACTTAACTTCAGTACATCTCTTACTACTAAAACTATTTTTATCAGTGGAAAAAAAGGGCCGTGTTCTCGTATGTTTTGATGCATTTTCGGCCTCAGCCCATCGGATCCCCCCTCTAAATATATATGAATTTTGCTTAGAATTGCTAATCCTACAATTCTCTATTCGTGCTTGCTGACTGGGAAAATAAATACCGAAAATCGTCACTGTCTCCTGGACTATACAATAGATGATGATGAGAACTTCACAACAAATACACTTTTATGAATGGCTAGTTGGGGATGTGCTTCTGTTCGAGTTATATTCTGGACCATGCGGCAGTCGTACAGCGTTGCCAAATTATTAAGCAATTGTATCTCTATATTAGAAAAACGAAAAAATCGCCAAAACGCCACTGACGCTTAAATGGGATGGAACTGAGAGAGAGGCAAATTATTGCGGCCTTTGTCAGGTATGATGTGTGTGGCTTTTTTACAGTTGAATCGTACTCTATGCTTGTCTCAAAAACAAGCCCGAAAATGCTTATGCTTATGGATCATCAAGAAAGATTATGGTCAATGTCGTCCGAAATACTCTTAGTATTTGAAATATATGCCTACATATAACTGAGAGAACTGTAAAATAATAAAATAAAGGTTTATTAAGCGATCTATGGATTTTTAAAATTAAGTGTGGCTGGTTTATAATTGAAATTTTGATTTAAAATGCAGAACATCAGAACTCGATAAATTTAACTAAATTGCGGGGTCAAAAAACTTGAAATTTGATGGATGAGTATATTGACTGAAAAGATGACCGTCTCGATAGATGAAAATAGCCTGAAGAATTTTGTGTTTTTCCATTGTATCTGACACAAACAAATAAAAGAATCGAGGCAATACCGCCGAGAAATTACTATACGTAGGTAATGGACTAAAAATGGCGTCTGTTCGTTTCTTTACATTTTACATTACATTATTGCTGTAAAATTGGTTGTCTACTCTAAAGGTACATATCGAATTTTAAATAAATAATATTCTAGAAAAGTCAATTTTTGTTTAAAAAAAAATAAAAAAGCTGCAAATTGTTATTAAAATTGTTATTTAATGATACAAGTACCTACGAAAAATAAGGATTGTAGAAATCTTTAATCAACTATTATAAACTCATATGAAAAGTAATGTGTTCTTTAAATAAACATTCTGAAAATAATTGATTTAAATTTACATTTATTATTTAACTAGGACAATAATTGTTAATATAGCTTATATTTATAGTTGGAAAATCACTTTTTAGAGTAAAGTTTGTACAAAAAACATAAGCTATTCGCTCAGTGCGAAGTCATGGTAGGGGAAGCGAAAGCGATACTAGCGCTAGCTGCGGATAATTCGTGCATTTTAGGAGGATATTTTATATATTTTATATATATATATATATATATATATATATATATATATATATATATATATATATTATATACATACTTAATTATTATTATTATTTTACGATGTTCTTCAAAATTCCTTAAGTACTTACATATTCAGAAAGAAAATAATTCTGCTTTTCATTATTGTCTGTATCTGGAATGCAATTTTATAACTGACCGATTGGAAAACTATTATTTAATAATTAATTCTATGTTTTCTTTCAAACTAGAAATG